AAAGATGAATCCTTTTTGGTCCTTTCCTGGTCCCATACCACACAAAAAAAAAATAGGAGAAAGAAAAAAAAACGATTTCTGTTTTACGGGCCCTTAAGGCTTAGGAGTAGGTTGAAGACGCAACAAGTCATCCTCTTTTTCGTTGTTTCCGTAGCTGGGCTGCGAGTGCCATGTGTCTGTAGTTTAAAGAGAACTCAGCTAAAATTCCAATGGAAGCAAAAGCACACACACACACACACACACAATTAAAAGTCTGTTTTTCCGTTTTTTAAAAAGCCGCTTTTGTCAAACCTTTCTTTTCACTCTTTTAAAGGTATGCCTCCCAAAAAGAATTTTTTCTCTTTTTCTCGTTTTCTCCCGCCTTAATCTCTAACTCACCTCTTTCCACTCTGTAATTCTTGCAACAACGTTTCATCTGTAGTTGATGTCAACTCAGATGATGCTAAAAAAACGAGACGATGGGGTATAGAACAGGCAAAACGGGACCCACAGAGTCACGTATAATTCAATGGTAGCAAGGAAGAAGAAAGAAAGGAAAAAAGACAAAAACTGACTAGTGACTATTCACATCAGGGAGCCCCCGCATCAGTCTGTTATTGAGCGTTTATCTGAAACAATAAACGAGCTTTCCTGACATTTCACCTTTAGTACTCACTTAAGTCACTACTATATTAATTTTAAAGATCAAATTATACCCCCCCCACACACACACATAATCGTATAGACTAAGAAACTTATATAAATTTAGCTCACAGCTTTAACTGTAGAAAGTTTAACAACTATGTGTGGCTGATGAGACTTATTACCGCAAGATAAGATTTTTAGTTTCAAAAATGACACAATTCAAGAGACTCTGGCAAATTGTGCAAAAAAATAGATCTTTAAAAATGACGCATTTTGCGTTGGCATGATGGATACACAGTAGAACTTTAACAATTCTTCATTTGGCACAAAGATTTAAAGGGCACCAAGTTAAGATTGAAATTACTATGATCCGGAAGATGACTAACTTGTTAACCACTACAAATCAGCAAGGCGCCCAAACATTTACTAAACTGATCATAGCCTGGCTCAAGGACAAGATATGAAACGCTTGTGAGCATAACTTGTTGAGGGTATTGACTTTCTCATGAGTAGTTTATGGAACTAGTTTGTAATGATATTGCCTACTCCTTCGTTCCGGGTTCCCGGAACGTCAATCTGTTTTTTATATATACAAACACGCATGCGCCTTGATCAATAAACATACGCCAAGACAGTCCCTTATTCATAACTACATACGTGTTCGAGTTATTATTACTTTTATCAGTACACATCCATGCACTACACGGCATGACATGGTGGCAGCAATTTAAAGTCTCGCCTAGACCCACGAGCATTAAACAAAAGATTTCATAATTCTTTACCAAATTTTTGTAATCGAAGAACTCAACCATCCATTTGCAGGACAAAATTCTTTTCAAAACTGGATGCTGGTCTTTTATGGTCCATAAATTTTTTTTCGTGAAAGCCAGCCACTAACAACTTTTCCAAACGCCATTTGGGAGGTACTGTTTTGAACGACTTCATTTGGTCTGGAGTGTAAGTCAGATATTTACCAACTTGAGATGGACAGGATACTGAGAAGTGCACTGGAGCCTCAATTTATAGCTGACGATATCATCATATATGGGTCAACAGAACATGAACACGACGAAAATTTTAAAGCGCTTTATGGAGGTTCGCTACTCAAGAGGGCCTTTATTTCAACTCCAGAAATGCAAGATTAAACGCCGAATGAAATCTCCTTCTTTCAAACCTCTATATATACATACCGGATTGAAACCTGACCCAACAAAAATACGTGACCTACAGGAGATGTCAGAACCACATAACAAAACAGAATTGCAAATAGTTTTAGGTGATGACATTAATAAATCTCGCATCATCACTGACCTCACCTCCAAAACTACTGTAATGTTGCCTGACCTGTTACAAAGGTCTCTGATTTTTGGGAAACCATCACCAGAAAGTTTTGAAAGATCTAAAGAGCGAAGTATCTGAAACGTCTCTATCTTCACTATTTTGAAATAAACTCCCCAATTTACATGAACTGTGATGCGAGTATGTCTTGAATAGGTGCAGCTCTGCTACAACCGGATGCAGATGGCAATTATTGCCTGTCACATATGCTAGCAAGAGCTTAACACAAACGGAACAAAGATATGCATGTATCGAGCGTGAGCTACTGGCCATAAAATTTAGCACATTAGATTCCACACATACCTTTTATGGCCATTAATTTCCAAGTCAACACCGACCATAAACCCCTTACAATGATTATCGACAAACCGCTCACCTCAGCCTCGGCACGCCTGCAACGGATTGATACTGTCCGTTTCTCCACTGATCGCATTGAACAACTGAGAAACTGTACAACAGCGGATCCTTTGCTTAACCAGCTGAGAGAGACCATCATCACTGGATGGCCAGAGACAATCAAGCAGCTGCCCACTGACATCAGAGTGTTCTGGGGTCTAAGAGACCAGCTCTCAATTGATGATGGCATTATCCTCAACGGACAACAAATCGTCATTCCCCAGACACTTCAAGAAGACATCCTAAAACAGCTTCATTCTGCTCATATAGGACAAGAGAAAAACAAAACTCCTCGCCAAGGACACTGTCTATTGGGGTAAATTTAAACAGAGACATCGAGCAGTTCACAAAGTCATGCAGCATCTGCCAACAACATCAGCCATCCCAAATGCAAGATTTATGCAACATGACATCCCAACAAAGCCAAGGGACATAGTTGTTTACAGACCTGTTTGATCTCCATGGAAGTCAATGGCTGATCATAGCCGACTATTACTTCTAGTACCCTTTATATTCAAACACCTACCTGCTCAGTCACCAAGCAGTTATATATAAAACATCACACGCCAAGTCTTTGCAGAGTTTGGGATACCATCAAAGGTAGTCAGTGACAATGGACCACACTTTTCAAGTCACCTCTACCGTGAATTCGCCAAAGAATGGGGTTTCCACCATGAGACCACTTCACCTTGGAGACCACAGGAAAATGGTTTCATAGAACGGCAGATAAGAACTGTCAAGAACATCCTCAAAAAGCCAAGCATTTCAACAACGCCTGAAATTATTGCTTATGCACAGGCGCTGTACTCCAAAGTCAAACGTCATAACAAGTCCTGCAAACTACTCATGGGTAAACGAATCCAATTCCACTGATTACCAAAATCAGAAACGATCGCCAAGATCAGGATCAGATATATAGTGCGATTCAACAACGTCAAGAAAACCAAAAAAGGTAATTTGACCGACATGCACTCAAAGAAGAACTTTTTAAAATACCGTGGCCAATGGGTAAGAGTACGAAAACCCTATGTCTGGAAATTGGGACCCAGAAGCGACTGTAGTATTCCAGGCAGATGGTCACCGCTCATATCTCCTGGAGAATGTCAGTTGGGTATGTGCTGCGAAGAAACCGGCAACACATAAGGCGTCTGACCCATTAACTGTCAACAAGACGTCTATGAAAACGTCAGAAATGTTGACTTTTTGGATACACCAAAAAGGATCCCAAACATGCTAAATGACCCCTGGACTTTTGAAGCGTACCCGTTTGGTAGGATGGTGACCGCCATCAAAGATGAACTTATGATGAACACATACTCATAACCCCACAGCAAGCATATAAATTACTGCAGAATAATCCCTTGTTTTGCTGTTTATGTTCAGGTAGTCTACAAAACGAGCCTTTCTGTTTATTTATGTTTGTTTTGTTTTAGAGACCTAGTATTACGATCTTTGTTTCGGAGAAAGGGGGATGTAATGATATTGCCTACTCCTTCGTTCCGGTTTCCCGGAACGTCAATCTGTTTTTTATATATACAAAAACGCATGCGCCTTGATCAATAAACATACGCCATGACAGTCTCTTATTCATAACTACACACGTGTTCGAGTTATTATTACTTTTCAGTACACGGCATGACATAGTTGAGTTATTGGACACAGAAAGTGTTTCGTTTTAGATAGTGGCAGCGATTATTAATTATTGCGGGAGCAGTCCGGAATAGAGTAATCTTAATCCAAGGAAATTTAAACAAGTGAATTTAAAATGAACAAGAAGATAAAGATTAGTTTGTTGGGGACGTGCAGAGTTTGTTGTTATAGACAAGCGTATGGTTGCAAGAAAGAAATACGACAACAGTAGAAATAGATTTACGTGGTTTATTTCAACAGGAACGTGAGGGTTTGGGACAGCTACCTTGTGGTAAAGTTCATAAGCCGGCTTTCGGATCTAGGTCGATCTCTCATAGTAGTTCACACATGTTGACGGTGGTTGACGCTCCCTGCTGACAGCTGCTGAACGCTCGGCCTGACCGGACAGGTCTCCCTTTGGGCCACCTGTTGACTGCCTGTTGAACTTCCGTGTGACCCCTTTTATAGCGTTTTTTATGGCTTAACAGGCTCGAAAAACGAAGCGAGTATAATTAGGAGGGAAGCATTTTATTGGACGAAAATAGAGCACTTTAAATATTATTTTATTTTTCGACCGGAACACGTGTGTCGGGAAAATTTGTATAGAAAGATAATGGTCATTTTGTGACGGGGCTTTGTCCCGTTTACATCCGGTTCTCGCTCTTGAGTATTTGCCTGTAAATCAGCCAAGATATGTTTTATTTTATAACAAGGCTCCCCCAGATCTCAGTCTCATTTACAGTGAGCGTTATTCGTGTATATTTGGGTGATAAATTCATGATAGAGTCTCTGAAGCGTGTGGGAAGTTGTCCTCGGGTTCTTCTTATTGGCATTTGTTTTGGTATGGGGTTATTTGCTGAATTATGTGTCCCCGAGGGATGTGGAGGAGAATGATCCTGCTGACTCTTTACATGGTGGAGGCAGAGGGATTGTATTAGAAAGATGTGTTGCGCGTGGAGCCAGTCGTCGGATATGTGCACGGTGAATCCAGATTGTATCACCATCATCGTTTTGCACCTGACACATCATATTGTTCGTTTGTATAATTGTGTAATTTCCTATCCAGGGCAGATGAGAGGATTGGGCAACAGTTGAGTGTGGCCGATGAAGTAAAACCTTGTCGCCTACTTGTATTGGGTCCCCTTGTATGTGAGGCGATTTAAGTTAGTCTCAAGTTTGTGGTCGGCTTCATCGTTGGCCAGGGTGACATGGTGGTGAACCTGCTCTAGCAGGGCATTAATTTGCATTCTATATGCTCCAGGATCGTCGCTTGTGATTTCTTTTCTTTGTAGTGTAGGTAGGCCGATGTTGGGGTGACGGCCGGTAATGGCATAGTGCGGGGAGACACCGGTGGCGCTGTTGGTCGTGGCATTCATAGACGAAACGACAGATTCTAGAACGTCTGTCCATTCACAGTTCCTGTCTTCGCATAACATATAAAGTGCGTTCTTCATCGTGCGATGTTGTCTCTCGATATTTCCTGAGCTTTGCGGGCGCCAAGGACAGTGAAGTTCTTGCGTGATTGACATCTGGTTACAGAATTGTCGATAGACTTCTCCAGTGAAGTGTGTGCCTCGATCAGAGGATACTATGCGTAGAATCTCTCTGTGTCGAAGGAAGAAATGGTACAATCCGCGGGCGGCGTCGATAGCACGGTCTCTCGCGCATGGTATGGTTGTAAAGTGTCGGCTGAAGCTATCCAAGATGGTTAGGATGTAGCGTTTTCCCTTTGAGTTGGGCATTGTGACAAAGTCTATAAAGACGAGATCGAATGGTCTCTTTCCTCGTTTGCAGTGGCCAATGGGCCATTGGGTATTTACCGTTAGTTGCCCTTGCACTTAGCACACGTGTCGCAAGAATCGACATAGGCCTTGATGTCGCGGTTTTTGAATTTTCCACCAGTAGCTGGTAAGGAGTTCTCGCATACGGGTAACACCTGAGTGGTTGTTGCCCTCGTGTGCCTGGTAGAGGTATCTGGGTCGTAGTTTGTATGGTACAACCAATCTGTGTCTCTTATCATCAAGACGGAGGTGCCTTTTAAGTCTAGAAAAAAACAGGTAGTAGAAATGTTTTGTATATCCTGACGAAAAATTGTGTTGTGTGTTGTCTGAATTCTATAGTCGCATTTTGGTTGTCGATTAGATAGGAATCGAGCGTGTTGTGACAGAGAAGGATATTTTGGCCGATCAGGATTGGTGTGGTTTGGGTAGTTACCAGCACGTTAACCTTTTTGAATGTGGGTGAGTCTTACTGCCAATGGTGATGTCGCAAGCCAGTTCGCCGAGGGGCGGTGGTGTCAAGCCATTGATTCCTTTTAATACGACGTCGGAGCGGGTCAACAGTTTTTTTTGATCTAACTGAGATATTGGTAAGATGCACAGCATCCAGAGTTCAGTATTGCGACGCCAGAGAAGGTGATGTTCCTGAAGTTGAAGGTGGACTGGACGAGCGGTGAATGGTGAGCGAGTCCTTGAAATTTGAAGGTGTGATGGCTGACGTAAGAGCACGGCGAACGAGGCATCACATCTCGTCCTGCCCGAAGCGGAAAATACTGTTCCACATCATTTATGAAAAGTATATTGTCATTCGTTGCGGCGATATGGGCCTGTGCCCGAGTGCGAGGTGTGGGCGATATACACAGTTGCGTCCATGGTGGCAGGGGCGACCTCTGATGTAGTTCTTGCACACACTGATTCGTGGTGTGTGCTGATGGTTTCTATATGGATGGTGGCCATGTTCGGGAGGGTTGGTGAGGCCCGTCTGCTGTGGGTTTGGTTGCCTGCTGGGTCGGAGTGGCACGTTTCTTTAAATTTGACTGCTGTGGTTTCTGTGTTACACAGTGTCGTGCGAAGTTGTGTCGTTGGATTTTACACCGCGATCAAGGTATATTTGAGCTTCGGAGGCTATGCCAATGGCTGAATAGTGGTTGTCCATTGTCTTGACGAGATGTGGGTGGAGATTTGAGTTCCAAATTTTCACCTTTTCGCTCATTAGCATAGCGCCGATGATGGAAATAAGTCCATCGACCGTTAAGTCTGCATTTTTTGTCTTTTTGTATTGTTTTTTATGTGGACGGCTGCCTCTCCAAAGGGTGTTTTCGAGTCGACCCGCGAAGTCTGTTAATTTTCGCCGTCTCGCCGATCCAGATCCCAGGCTTGACTGAGGTGTTGGAAGTTAGTCATCTGGCTTCCGTGGGTTCCTTTTCATAAGTATTCCTTCAGTTGTTCGAAGGTGGATATGTTTTTTGAGTCAACCATCTGCAAAGATTTAGCAAGAGTAAATCTTGACGAATTCGCATTCCAGGCTGGGATAGGTGCTGAGTTCTGGGTGATTGTGTGTTTTGTTAGGGCCGTATGTTTTGTTTTCCAGGGTGAAAAGTTTGATGAATCTTCACACGTCGCGTATGATTTGTTGGCGCATCATTAAGCATTAATCGCCGTTTGTTTGAGCGGTGAGAGGTGTTGAAGCAGTGGATTTTAGGGCAGTCAGTTAATGTCGTTTATGTTTTTTCTT